TAAACAAACCAAGGGAAAAGGAAAAAACGGTGTTCATGAGAATAGAAAGTCACAACAAGTCCGCAATTGTGCATGGTTCCTTGACATATCCGAGAGTGCTTCCAGCCATACGTGATCCGGACCCATCACACCCCAGCCAGGGAGCCGAGAGCGGTCGACCACAGCTAACTTTGACATTAGCTGCTTCATGCTCCTGACCCAAGTCATAGGTTGGCCACCTTGCTTTCGCTTCCAGCCGATTACTGCGCGTGTGAATTAGGCACGACGAGGTAAGCGATGAGTAGGCATGCGAAGAACATGCCCAAGCCACTGAAGTATGCACAGAGAAATGTTGTTGCTCAGTAGCCGGCAAAGTCGGTCTGATCTGAAAATCCTCCGTCGAACATCTTCATTACTAGTGTGATGTTGCCAACAACCAGCTTGCCGAACTACCTCCTCGTGGCGCCAGCTGGGTGTTTCGGGTGTACCCCGTTCCAGCAAAGTGTTCGGCGACAATGTTCCACCTCGGTGGGGCATTGTATTCCAGCAGGTGTGCTGATTTCATGGGGAGCATTGGGCCCCTGTTTGGTAATCAACCAAACAAAGACGCATGAATTGAACATTCAGTCACCACCTCCCAATGGGCGCGATTCCCTAAATTCGCCCCGCTGCCTTGTGGGTAGGTTAGTTAGCCAAAGGCTCGGGGTGGAGTCCCTTAAGTCAACTCCCTACTTCGACTTGGGCAACCGGATAGTATCACGCCCTCTCGCAAAACCGCGGACTGTATTACAACTTGCTCATCAGCTGCTGTTTCTGCTAGTCACTTTCACGCGACTTCATCACAAGCCGATTGTTTGTTTGTTAAAAATCCTCACATTTTGTTACACGATTCATGTGTTCAACAATCTGGCTGTGATTGCGGTTGCGCCGCAGACCAAGAAGTTCAACCTATGGCTCTCCTTCGTCCCCGATCCTCGTTTCAACTGACGTGCTTCAACGTTCGGGCACTCATGCAGATTGGACAGCAAGCCGGTCTAGCGCGCACCTTAGATTCCCTAGACATTGATGTCTGCTGCCTTTCAGAAACCCGATTGCAAGATCCCAGCACTGTGCTTACATTGACATCCCCCACTGACCACGAAGCCAGATATCATCTGCGTCTTTCTGGAGATCCAGAAGCAGCCTCAGCGGGTCTGGCTAGTGTAGGTATAGCACTAAGTGACAAGGCCGAGGCGACACTACTGGACTGATTCCCTATTAACAGCCGACTATGTGCAGTTCGGCTTCGGGGTTCATGTAGAACCAGCAGGCACCGCGAAGAGAGACACAACTTGTTGGTGATCTCTGTGTACGCTCCAAATGACTGCAGTGGGGACTCGGTCGAGGACGAATTCTACCGGGATTTACAACAGCTCTTGACTAATGCTAAAAGTCGGATGTCGTTATCCTTGCTGCGGATTTTAATGCACGGGTTTGCCCCCTGTTACCATACGAACGCCACCTTGGTGGTCATCACTCGCTCGATGAGAGCCGCTCTGATAACGGAGAGAGACTTCTCACATTGAGCAAAGACAACCGTCTGTTTCTTTCGAGCACTAACTTCAGGCGTACGAAGAAGCGTTCCTCAACGTGGCGTCCCGCTTCGCCAACACAAACGTGGTCTCAAATTGATCACATTGCAATTAGCTTCAGATGGCGCGGCAGCGTATTGGACTGCGGGTACTTTTGGTCCACCTTCTTTGACTCAGATCATGCACTGGTCAGCGCGAAAATCTGTATGGGTTTTGGAGGATCCCGAAACACGAAGCACCGCAAGATTGGTGTAAACAGATTAACTGATTCCTCTGTCCAGGCGAGCTATCAGTCTTCATTGGTATATACAATCAGTTGCAATCCACCGCGAGAAGTGGAACAACACTGGACATGTATACGGAAGACAATGACCATTGGCGGACAGTCATGCTGCGGCCTAACTCGACGCTCTTTGAAGGCTTGGATCTCTGCTCGTTCTCTGGAGCTGTTCGAACGCCGCAAAGATATACCCACGAAATCAGATTGCAACGAACGGCGCCGTTCTGCCAACCGGCTGCTCAAACAAAGCCTACGCAAGGATCACGAGACATGGTGGTCTGAGCGTGCTTTAGAGATGGAGACCGTTGCCCTCTCTGGCAACACTAGCAGGCTTTTCCAACTCATTCGGTCCACTGGCCTCAGGAAGCCTGGCGTCAGTGAGGTTATTTGTGAGGTGGATGAGTCTCCGATCACCAACCAACAGAGGCGTATGGACCGCTGGGCCGAGCATTTTCACTCGCAGTTCAACTGGCCTCCACCATCCATCAGTACATGCGGTACACGTTGTTGTCAACCCTGGATCGTCCCACTGAATCCACCCACCGAAGCGGAAGTCTGCCTCGAGATTCGACGCTTGAGGCGCTTCAAGGCTGCCGGCTTAGACGGACTTCCTCCGGAACAATTCAAGTACGGCGGTGTGGCGATCATTAACCAGCTGACCGCGCTGTTCGCAAAAATTTGGCATGAAGAGAAAGTGCCTTCCTCTTGGGACGAATCAGTTATTGCCCCGACTTTCAAGAAAGGCGCTCGCACTTCATGTGCAAATCATCGCAGGATTAGTCTTATTTCGGTTACCTCTAAGCTATTGGCATCCATTCTGCTTCGTACACTATCCCCAGTACGTGAATCATACTACCGTGAAGAACAAGCTGGTTTCCGTCCTGGCCGCGGATGCGTGGATCAAATTTTTACGCTCCGCCAGCTCCTCGAACATCGCCACACTTATCACAGGCCCAGCATCATTGCATTCCTAAACATACGTGCCGCTATTAACTCCGTTGATCGACCTGCTTTATGGTGTTGCTTACTAAAGAACGGGGTGCCAGAGAAATACACCGCTATCTTACGAGCACTTTACCTTCATACATCCAGCAGAGTGAGGGTCTATGGCAAGCTTTCCTCGCAATTCGCTGTCAATAGCGGTGTGCTACAGGGCTGCTCTATGTCCGCATTCCTCTTCAAGTTCGCAATCGAAGACATTCTGTCAAATGCTCTAGAAGGTTTCCAACATTTTGGCTTTGAGCTTCTACCGGGCGAGTGTGCGACCGACTTAGATTATGCTGATGATAACGACTTCCTTGGTGACGATCCTCAGAGTATGCAACTCATTCTGGATCGTTTGGCGGTTGAAGCATCTAAGTATGGCATGAGCTTCGCCCCATCGAAGTGTAAAGTACTGCTGAAGGATTGGCTTTCACCTGCTCCCGTACTCACTCTAGAAGGTGAACAACTTGAACAGGTACATAGTTTCGTCTACATTGGGGGCTGTGTTTCTGCTGACGGCACTATCAACAAGGAAGTTTCTCTTCGTATCGCTAAAGCTAGATCAGCATTTGTCAATCTGAGGCACTTGTGGCGTCGTTGCGACGTCTCATTCTCACTAAAGGGCCGCGTTTACAGCGCGTCAGTTCGCTCAGTATTGTTGTATGGATGCGAGTCCTGGCCGATTCGCGTGGAAGACATGCGTCGTCCTTCTGCCTTCGATAACGGTTGTGTAAGGAGGATCGCTCGTGTTTGGTGGCAACATCGAGTTAATAGCAATGACGCTCGACGTCGCATCTTGAGGAATGCGAGTATTCCCTTCAACAAACTGGTTTTGTTGCGCCAGTTGAGATGGCTGGGTCACGTCCAACGCAAGGTATCTGAGCATCTAACGAGTCGCGCTCTATTCGCTCGTCAAGGACGTGGCTGGAGGCGACCACGTGGTGGCCAGACTTCCACTTGGCGGTAGCACATGAAATTGCTGACGTCGTGTCTAACCGCTGTTGGATCCGTACGTCTTCCAGGATAGGGACCCAAAGATGAGGAGTGCCAATGGCTTAGTACTCTTGAAGATATGGACCGCAACTGGAATCAGTGGAAAAATTGTGTGCAGTATTGTATTGATTCTCATGTTTAATGCTACAAACATTAAAATGACAAAAAAGAGCAAAGGCGGCGTGTGAAAAACAAACTAAAAATGTTTTGTTCTAGTTTTTGTCAAAATGTTCCATTCTTCCTGCAGCATATTAGTTGAAGTGTGTTGCTCACCTTCAACTAGCATGCCACGATGATTGTGACGCAATGAATCTTGCTTATCTGCTGATCTCCATGGTTTTATGTTGGCTCTGTGTCTAGCTGATAGACTGTTGAGATTACATACATACATATCTTGGTCACGTACTACATATGCCTGGTCACCTCTTACCTAGGAGAGCCATGTTCAGTCTGCCAGGTGTAGGGTGGCGCAAGGCTCGCGGTGGACAGAAGTTGACTTGGCAGCGGGAAATGAAGTCACTCTTGGCCAAACATGGAGCCATTGGTCCGCCTCGCCTTCCGGGCTGGAGTCCAGGTGACTCGCCCTGTGCTTGGCTCGAGACTTTACAGGAGAGCTCGTAGTCGGCACCAGTGACGCGTCTGCTGCCGTTTCCTAGTCGGACTGCCTGTTTAAGGTGTATTTGGTGTGGAGTTATCGGTGGGGTAATGACTGATTATGACGCATGGCAGTGAAAGCCTCAAGGAAGCTGTCTCGCCGATGTCACCTTATCTTTGCACGATAGCCAGCTTTCTGTGACGGTGTTGTCGACAAGGTGTAGGCGCCTTTACCCTAAATGTTTGCTTAGGGCATTAAGGTTTTCCGGTGAGGCCCCCTTCTCTGCCTCTTATTAATCCTCGTTCCCTAGGTCGTTATGGTAATATGGCAGTGAAGCGCCCGTTCAAATGGCTGATGTATTGCTGTTGATGATGATGCAGGCTGGTGTTGAGCCGATATGTGTTTTCATTCCGGGACTCAGTGTGTCACTGGCGGCATAGTTACGTACGAATTGATAAGTACAATGCAAATCACCTTCGATAGGCTGGGCTGGGGGGAGACTGGCTGTTTCTCATATCTGCCATGTCAATATAGTACGACGCACGGAAGCGTCGCACGTTGGTGAGAAACAATTATCACTAACACCAGAGAATACCGATTAGACGCCTGTGAGGGAAGGGTAGCACAAGAAAACCATCGAGCTTGGAGCAATACGCAATCCGAGATGGTCCCATCCATTCGGTAAGTAATGCGTATCGGTTTTCCGATTGTAGGGAGAAGGATCGAGTATTTTGATGATAGACTGCTGCTTCTACTAGTGAAGCACAGAAGCGGATTGGGACCCAGCAGAATATCGTCCAGGTGAGCAGTCGTCAGACAAGCATCATATTGAAAGATGCTTCATAACTTACCTGTGGGGGTATGAAAATTGGAGCAGGTTTGCGTTTCTGCTTCTTTGGTGGAGGAATAGTGTGGGGGTTTCGAAACAAGTTCTCCTCGGCCAGGGACTTGGACAGATTGGAGACCGTCAACTGATTATCCAAGTCATCAACGCCTCCAGCCGATCCGGTGGATAAGTCGGCCAGTTCAAATTCCTCCACAGCGGAAGCGATGGAGGTGGCACACTCGTTGCTCGAGCAAGCAGATGTCTTGGCGATGGCAAATCCTCCTGACTGATGAAGTCCGTGAGCTTGAAGGCCAGACGCACTACCGCTTGTTGTGGTGACCATACTCGTGGACTGAACATCATGACAATGGCGCTGGTTGGCGTAATCCGCATCGATTCGTAACGGCCGGAGAAGAGCATTGTCCCCTTGCCTCAAGTGAATGGATGAAGGTCCGGACACGGTTAGGGTGTCAGTGATATGGCTGTAGTGTAAGGAGGCGGGAACGAGGAATGAGACATACAACCGTAAGAGACTGATATTGATATATTATCCAGATAGAAACACAAGGGAGATCAGGAAGTCCACGTAATCGGGAGTGGCAAATAAGACGGAGGAATAGTTGCGCAGAAAAAATTCATGAATCATGCATAGTTCCATGGAAACTAGATACCATAAATGTTTCAACATGAACAAGTAGATGTGAGGTTAGCCGAACTGTGATAATAAAGATACAACACACAACTATCCTGGCGTTAGCGGAGTTTTGTAATCGGCAGACCTCAGGCAGTTGGAATGAGTGAAGAACCATCATTTGATATCAATCTGAGATGGATGTGCTGAGTGAAACGATCAAACATTTGCAAAAATGCAGCTTCATGTATTAGGACTACACACACACACACACAACACACGGGAGTGGGACGACCTTCGACCATTCCATCAAATATGGGAATGGGGTGCGAATTGATTGGCCAGCAAAAACAAACCCGCGTCAAAAGTGGGGAACCATTCTGCCAAATATGGTGAACTTCAGGGACGGATTTCAGTCACATTGGCTGAGAACCAAATACAGAAGAGCGGGTCGTCTGGGTTTCCAGAATTAGTATGTTTTGTTCACCAATAAATAGAGTTGACGAATCCTGTAGAATATACCCTGTCTACTGGACCTTGGTCTTTTGTATTCCTACGGTTGGCTGGGCGCGTGGCTGAGAAGCGAGATGGTCGCAGTCTCGCAGGTGATTTTTCTATTTTGTATATTGGATAGGATTTGTTATATGTTTTGTTTGAGAATTTGCAGGGAACCTGTGTCTGTGATTTTTTGTGTTTGAGGGTAATGAGCGTTAGTGGGTGAGTGGTTGATGTGATTTGATACTTTTTGTATTTTTTTGATTTGGTGACTGATGTAAGTGTATGTTGTTGAAATATACATTGTTTTGATGATTCTTCATGTGAATTGGTTGTGATTGGTCTATGCACTTTTTGGTCTGTGTTTTTGGGACTGGTGATGTTTTTACTGGACTGTTTTGTGGAAGGATTTGAAAATATGACCTGTAGTTGTGTGATGAATTTCTTGAATTTTGAATGTGATGAATGGATGATGTGTGATATATGATTCGCTCTTTGAGTTGAAGTGAGTGAAATAATTTTTATTGAGTGTCGTGAGTTGAATTGAGATGTTATTGTGATAGTGTTGATGTCTTGGGTTTTGTGATATTGGATTGAACTGTGACGTGGATGGATGATGATGATTGTTTCGTGTGTCTATCTGAATGTTTTTTGAAATTGGTATAGTGAATAATGTTATGTGTTTGTGAAAGCTCGTGAAAGTAGTCTCTGTTTGAGGCTTGACTTTTGTTGAGTTCGGGATGTGTGTTTGTGTGTAGGTCTGTGGGGTGTGGTGTGATTATTGTGTAGGTTGTAAGATTTACTCATTGATGAATGATGATTTGTTTTGATGTTGTTTGATTTTGATCTTTTTTGATGAGAAATGATTCTGAATTTGTCCGAGTCTGACATTGCGGATGATGCCTTGTTATGAATGGGAGTGTCTTTTTTTGAATGGTGTGACTGGACCTGATAGCTTGTTTTTTTGTACATTTGATTTGGTGATTTGATGAATATGGGATTGAAGACTTGATTTGTGGTATGTTAATGTGTTGGTTTGACTGGGGTGAATGCGATTTCATATTGATGTTTGAATTGGGAATGCGGGTCGTTTTTGAGTTTTTTCTTGTGATGTTGGATGCGATTAAATCAACTTTTCGTAAAAAAAAAAAAACAAAAAAAGCTTTGTTGTGTGGAGAGACTTGAATAGAATTGTAGGATCGTTGATTGTGTTTTATGTTGAATGATAATTTTTATTGTGTTGTGTATTGTGTTCACGCATTGTGTAATTCTGTTTGTTTGCGTCTCTATGTGAGATGTGATGAGAAGTCTACATTTTTGCGCAGCTTGGAAATTGTTTGACTGTGTTTTTTTGATTTTTTTTGTAGTTTTCTTGATTGGGTTTGTGCAGGGTTTGGTTGCGTGATGTGATTTGAAATGGTGAGAGTGTTGACATGTGAATTGGAACTCCATTTCACTGATTTTTTTGGATTTGTTGAGGATGATGAGTTGACTTTTTTGACACTCTGATGCATGAATTGATGTGTTTCGACGGAGTGCAGGTTTTGTTTGTTCATTTCTTCTGACCTGATAGAGTTCGTGTATGATGGTTGTGTTGTTTGAGTTGATAGTAGTGATGATTAGTGTTATATTGGGAATATTGGAATTTGTGGACGATATTGTTTGATGACAAACTGCGGATAATATAGGTATGTGCTTGTAGTGAATGTTTGATAATGTGAACAATTAGTGATATCTACGGGTTGTTTGTGAAATTGAATTGAAAAATGTTGGTTGTTGTGTGGTTTGATGAATGTTGTTTGATTGATTAATGATGCTTTCTTGCTGTGCGTGTTGATGTTTATGTTTTAGTTTCTTTATGCTGTTGATAAAATGCTTTTTTGTATTTTTTCTTTTTGGTTTTTGAGTGTGAAATTCGATTATTGTTTTGACCCTGGGTGAAGTTAGTGATTATTTTCGGTGTAGTGTGAAATTATTTGTGTGATACTTTGAATGTGAATGGGTTGGTATATCTCGTCATATATGAAACAGTAGTATGGATTGGAATGTGTCTATTGTGTCTGAATGATTAATGGTGATTGTGTGTATGTGGGTTTGTACTGTTCCTGAAAGTGATATGTGTTTTTCATCATCTTTTGAAATGTTATTTTTTGTGTATGAAACGTGAGTGTATGTATTTTCCTTTTCTCTTTTGGGTGAATAATTTTCAATGAATTTTGACTTTGAAGTATGATGTGATGGTGATTGAATTTTTTGACTGATATTTGGCTCTGTGTTTTGATTGTGCTGGAATATGTTACTTTGTGGACTGAGTTCGATTTGATTGCTGGAATGAATGGAATGATTTATTTGATTGTTTTGATGTGTTTATGATTAATAACTATTTTTGATGTTGTCCTTAGTTGTGACTTTTTTGATTGTGATGATTTATTGTATTGATGTTGATGCTTGGCAATTTTTTGAATGAAATGAATGCTTTGTGTGATACTTTGAAGTGTTCGTTTGTTGAATAGTTGAAGATTGAATTTTGATGGTCTAATGAGTAGGTTTCTTGTGAAGTTGATGATGTTGAATGTTTTATTCATGAAGTTCGTATGATATGATCTTTGGAGCTTGAATGGACTGCTTTGATGTGGTAATTGATTTTGTAGATATGATCTAATTGATGTCTTTGTTGTTGTTGTGAATTTATTGATTGATTATGGCAGTATTTGTTGTTTTAGCTGTTCTGTTGTAGAACGGTGATCATGATTTATTGTGATGAAAGGATAGTATCATTGGCTGTCTGTGATTGGTAATGATATGTATATTGATGTGAAATTGTTAGTTGGTGTTGGATGTTGTTGAGATTGGTGAAATAAGATTATATTCATTTTGAATTGAATGATGGTGTTGTTTTTGGTTGTGATTTGATCTGATAATTATTCCCTGTTGGATTAATTTGTGATGATTTGGACTGTCTGATTGGAATAGATAAGTATTTGTTTTTTGTGTGATTGTTTGTTTGTGATATGAATTTGATGATTGGATGTTATGGTTAGGTGATGGTGTGATGATGAGTTGATTTTGTAATACTCGTGAAAATTGAAGAATTGTGTTAGAATGATTATTTTTGTTTCGTGTCTTGTGAATTTTGTAAATTTTCCCAACAATGTGATTTGGATGTGCATATTTTAAATATGCTAGTGAAGCTTGATCTTTGATTTTGAAGTACGAACCAAACTATTGATGAATTGGTTTATGATTAAGTGCTTTATGTATATGTGAATATGAATTTGCTTGTGTTGATGTTGATCGTACTTTTGCCGTCTGATTTCTTTTTCGTTTTTTCTATCTTTTTAACTGTTATGTTGTTGGTTGTATGCGTTTGCTTATTCAGGTTCGCTTCTTTCTTTTCGTGTTAGTGAGTTCTGTTCATTTTTCTCTTTTCTTTTCTTTGGAATTTTTGTTGATGTGTTGATTCTTGCTTATATTGATATAATCGTTGTATGTGAAAGTGATGAATCTAGTTAGTCTGATGTTATTTGTGAGTTTGTCTTCGCCTTTTAACGTGATATTATTTGATGAACATTTTTTTTCTATGTTGATATTGTTATGTTGTAGTTGTATCTGATAATTAGTTGTTGTTTCTCTTGTGTTTTTTGTGTTTGTGTTTTATTAACCACTTTTGGAGTTTATTGTGGATGTCTAACGTTATTGTTGCTATCTTTTTTGTGTGTGGTTGTATTTTTCTTATGATACTCATTTGAATGTATGTATGTTGATGTATATTTTGTTGTAGTCTTGACATTATGTAATTGTGTGCGTGTTTGATAAACTATCGTTATGTGGTCTGTCTTGGTTTTGTTGATTTCTTTGTGCTTGCTATGGGTTTTTGTCTTGATATTTTTTTGATCTGTTTGTGGAATGATGAAACTTATGTGTTACCTTTTGTGATTGCTCTTGATGTGAGAGGGTTGAATGTGAAATTATTATGTTGTGTTGTTTGCTGAATGTTTTTGAATCTTGTTTTGGTGATGTGTAGATTTTGATGATATTTTGATCTTTGTGGGCTTGTTTTTCGATTTTATGAAAATTGTTAGTTCTTTTCGCTATTTCATTTTTTTTTTTTCTTTTCTTTTGTTTTCTTTTTTTTTTTTTCTTTTTCTTCTCTTTCTTCTAGTGATTTTGTTCTCCTTGATTGTGCGATGCTAGAGGTTTGTAGCCTAGTAGTGTAT